GCAACCCTAAACCCTAAACCCGTTTTGCATGAGAGTCTCGGCTAAGGTTGGAACTCTGGGCCCCAAGTGTGGGCCCTTCATCCTGGACTCCTCATAGTATACCTTTGATACAAGGTTTAGGGGGTTTGGGGTTTAGGGTTTAGGGTTTAGGGTTTAGGGTAGGGGTCCATGAAGGACTTTAGATATCTTGGCAATCTCGTGCCTAGGGAGCCCTTGCCCGAAATCGGCCGGTCCAGGGTCTTCATGTCCTCCAGCGGTGATGTGCGCGTGGCGGCCTGCTCAAATAGCGGTTTCCCAACATTAGGGATACCTTTTTGAGAGCTCCATACAGTGAGCACGATAGTAATTCCTAAGAAACTTCAGACTCACAAGGAGACTTACAAAGAAAGTCTGTTGTCCTGCTTGCGGAGCCGGGCTCCATGCCAGCTAGGGGAAGGGTGAGATGGGTTTCCGGGCGGAGCCTGGGTGTAGGATTTAAGGTTTAAGGCTACACTCTTACCGCAGATAACAGCCTGAACCCTAAGCTATAAACCCCTTGGCCTCTGCAATCCAGTGCCCCATCATAGGTGACAAGGCCGCGCATGCTGAGATCAAGGTCAAGCAGATGTAGCCTCAGCGGGTACAGGGTTTAGGGTTTGGGTTTAGGGTTTAGGATACAGTGACAGTGGCAGCAGTAGGTACAAGAGAAGGAGGAGGAGCAGCAGGAGTAGTAGGTGGTGACAACAATAGTAAAACTATTTATACAAGGGAGAGTAGCCATCCATGATAGTAAGAATAGTAACACCGCTAGCCGTCGGGACAATAGTATTTCTAGCAACCCAGAAGAAAACATCTTCTAGAGGCGAGGTTCAAAAAATCAACGTACACGTTGGGGGGGGGGGGGTCCCTTTTGAGGGTTCTGTAGGTCTTCCACTTCCACTCAACCTTAAGGGCGACGACCAGGAACGGCTGTGAAGCACCCATCACGTGAGAGCTTTCCTCACCCTGGCGGCCCCAATACACCACCCCCCTTCCATAAAACCCACATACATATTCATGTTGGAAGTCCTTGTGTAAGGGACTCACAAAAACGTGTATAACGCTGAAGTGTTGGCGTTGGGTTTTGGGGTCCAAGGCGGGATTTGTGAGTTCACATCATTGCTGCTGATTAACTTGCAGAACCCGGAAAAATCTGGCTGAAAAGCTTGATTGGGGTCCCTCGCTCAGTGGCCGTATCATATTATGCTAGCCCCACCCCCAACCCCCCCTCCCTCGTCGTACCTCGCTCCTAAATGATGCCGAAATAAAGATCAACTACATGCCGTCTTGTGGATTTTTTTGCAGTGACTGAGGATGGGCTTGTTGGGGTTACACTATGCCACCTCATAACCTCATGTAGAGCCGGGTGACAACCCTTCAGGGCGTACCACTTGTTCCCCAAGATCGTCATGATGGAGCACCTGGGAGATTGGGACATGCTGAGTTAACCTGCCTTGATCACGCCCTTTGTAAGACCTGCTTGAAGCAAGCTCCAGTCCCTAGCTGAAGAAGCTGGGCGAGCACAGGAGCCCTAACAGTTGGAATGGGGTTGTAGCGTAATGAATCATAGGTACAGCAGTTTTATACTTATGGCTGGAAATTTCTCAGGCTTCACCATGATTGGCACAAGTGCGCTATCAAGACTGTGAAGCTACAGATTTAAGATTACCACATCTTCTTGCAAAGAACCCTTGGTAACAAAGCCACAAGATCGTCAACTCCCAGCAGAGTTTTCCAAAAGGTGCAACCTGAAATCCACGTATTCAGCCCAAGCAGCATCTCTGTACAAAACAACTCTGCGACAAGCATGAAAACCTTAAGCGCGAGAAGGCCGAAGTGCGCAACCCCAAACCCTGGCCTCTCGACCTTCAACCCTGAACCCGAATCCCTAAACCCGAAGCCCTACGTAAATCAACCTAAAAGACTGAACCCTAAACCATTCAACACATATTCAGAAGCCCTGAACCAAAAACATGCCAACCACCCAGTACATGGAGATTTCAATAACTTGGGATCCCTGTTTAGGGTTTAGGGTTTAGGGTCTAGGGTTCAGAGTGTTGGATTATATGATCCTACACCCTAAGCCCCTTTCACCTTTTCAGCGTCTGCGGCTGGCATGCCGTACCCACTAAGTCCGAAAACCTGATCCCTAGATCCTCAACCCTGCAGCCAAAGGCGGCTTTCAAAAACCCCTTCGAGAAGCCAGGGCGCCAAACTGCAGCTCCCCGGGCGACGTCTAAGCCCACGGAGACCTGCCCAAAGCCCTAACATGATCCACAAAATCATCAGCGGCAGAGGGTTAATTCAGGGTTAAGGGCTTAGGGAGATTATGAAAGGGTTAAGTTGGGTTTCCAAGGGGAGCTAATTTGTGGCTCCTCCCAGGGACGTGGAGTTGAGAATTTAGGGTTTAGGATTTTATGTTTCGCTTAGGGCCTCGGATTTATGGTGAGGGCACAGGATTCAAGATTTAGAGCTGCCAGCTTGGAGCTTAGGATTTGGTCCTTAGAGTTTAGGATCTGGGGCTTAGGATTGAGGATTCGGGTTGAAGACATGGAGTTTAAGGATTAGGGCTGTGGACTTCGCGTTTGGATTTCCAGTGTAGGGTTCAGGGCTGGGTAGTGCTGAAAACCCCAGCAAAATATGCCTCAACATATGCCAGTTATCCCCAAACTGCTAACAGCTCCCTAACCAGGATTACCTATCTACGCCTGACCTCACACGATATAACAAACTCGTGTGATTCCCCGGGTATATGGTAGTTGAATCAAATATTCAATGTCAACAGAAGCAATCGTTTTGACCAACCCCCACCAAGATGGCGACGACGAATGTCTCGGAACGGAAGTTGAGGTAGCCTTTGGCTCGCGCTTTGCGTTTGGAGTTTAAGGTTTAGAGGCCTATAGTCCCCCTTAAGTAGATAGGATATGGGGTATATGCGGATCTTGTCATAATATACCCAAAGCCATATTCTATCTACTTAAGGGGGACTATAAATAATTGGAATAAATCTTTGGGATGCATAACACTTCGCTCGTATATGGACTATACACGGATAGTATTGGTAATTCTTCGGGCTTCGGTGAGGATGAGGGACTTCTAGTTCAGGTTGGGGGATGAGCAGTTGAAGTTGGAGTTTCGGATTTGGCAGTTTCCCCAAACAGCGGGACCCCGATATAGACCGCAAGGCTTTATAACCTCTATTATAGAGACCCCAAAAGGTATCCCTAGCGTATGGAAACCCGATTTGCATTGTGGCGGCCTTGGGCTAAAGTCATCTAAGCTATAGTCTATACTCCTACTATCCCCCCTAATAACCCCTATAGTAGTCCCTTATATGATCCCGTATATAACCCCCTTTAAGCAGTTTAGACTACAGCTCATCTTCCGGCAGTTATTCGTAGAATCTGGAAGCTTGGTAGCTCCAAGACGTTCTCCCATATACCCTGGGACCCGTCTACCCCAAACCCTAAACCCTAAGCCCCAAACCCTAAACCCTAAACCCCAAACCATAAACCCTAAACCCTAAACCCCAAATCCTAAACCCTAAACCCTATCTACTCCATGATGACTACAGCTTCGAAACGCACAGAACAAACCTTGGGCCTCCGGGATGGCTCCTTCAGAACACTGCCCGCTGGAAGGGACCCATACGGTGGATACCAAAAATCCTGCATGACCCTAAGTACCTTATACCTTGCGAATTATAGTACTATAGTATATTAAGGTCATGCAGGATTTTTAGTATCAACAGTATGAAGTTAAGCCCATATGAGCTACAGTCTAAACTCCTTAAAGGGGTTATATAGGGGGTTATATAGGGGAGTAGTATAGGGGTTACCAAGGGGGATACTAGGAGTTTACACTATAGCCCATATCCTTGAATCTCAACGGCCTTGCATTATAAGCTCTGAAAGCTAGGTCCCATGAGCAGCCTTTCGACAATCGAACATCAAGAACCCTGTATACACCCTAAAACCTAAACCCTAACTGTTAATCTCTCCATCCTCTAAATCCTAAAGCCGAATCTTCCACGGTCAAGGAGCCCAAGTCCCACAAGCACAGCGCTCGGAGGAGGGAACCGGGTGGCAGAAGGCAGCTGAAGTCTCGCATTGCCCAGGGTCCCCACTTGTTCCTGGGGGTTTGAGGGCTTTAGGGTTGAGGGTTTAGGGTTTAGGGAGTTAGCGCTTTAGGGCTCTGGGCCTCTAGGGTTTAGGCCTTTAGGGTTTAGGGCTTTGGGTTGAGGGCTCTAGGTTTGACGGCTTACATAGGGCTTAGGGTTTTACAGTTCGGGTTTTGGGAGGGAGCTGGGGGTTCGACGAGTTTCGGGTGGGACCTTAGGTTGGACCAAAGTTAAAGACCGTAGTACATACACGCGGGTTACATGTGTATGGGCTACATATAAACCTAAACCCTAAACCCTCCATTTATTAGGGCCGACTTTGAGGTCACACTAAAATCCTATGAGGCTCAGGGTATTTCTAGTTAAGGGCTTACTTTGCGCTTGAAGCTCTGAGGTTTAGCGTAAGGTTCCTTCACTTATTCCGTATGGTTTTCTTTTCAAATTGTATTCAGGTGTTAGGGTATGACCCCCCTTTAGTAGATAGAATATGGAATTCCTTAAAATCAGATTAAGATCTCCATATGCCCCATATTCTATCTACATTAGGGGGAAGGGGAGCGCTGTAGGTCTGGGCCAGAGACTGGGATGCTTGAGATTCATTACGGTTTGGGGTTTAAGGTTTCGGGTTTAGGGTTTCGGGTTTAGGGGGTTACGGCTTTTCCCCACTTGCAGCAAAGGCTTCCTGTAGGGGTTGAATGCGCTGTTCGAGGGAACGTTATCATTGCTATACAAGATTCCGCAATAGCAGGAAGAGTTTTGGCAAAGCCCTACACCATGGCCCTAAACCCTAAAGTCTAAGCCCCAAAATCTCCAGGATGTTGAGGATTTTTTGTGCTCTAAACCACAGAACTCCAAAATCCAAAAATTGGGGGGGTCTCGCCTTGGAGATTCCTATGACACGGACTATAAAAGATCGGGTTTTTTTATATTGGGGCCGCCTACTCCCCAGACCCGCTAAAGGATCCAAAAAGTGGAACCCCCTAATCATCCTATAGTTTCCCCAATGTAGTAAGGGGTTCATTTTGGGAGGGTTCCATTTTTTGGATCCTTTAGGGGGTCTGGTCATGGAAATCTCCCTATAGACCCCAAATCTGGAGTCCGAGTCTCATGCGCGTCAGGAAGAAGAAGATCACGGACAGTGCCACAGGCCCAACGAGACCGACTGTCAGGGCAAAGCCGGCAATCTCAGAAGGCTCCCATCCATTCCTCAAAAAGGCAGCCGTTTAGGGTTTAGGATGTTTTTGGGCGGTTGATTGACGAACGAACCAAGTGAGACTAAATTCTGGGAGAAGTCTGCAATCAAAAGGGCACGATAATCTTACAATAGTTTGGAGGCTACATTAGGCCTGTAAAAAAATGTACTCAAAGGGCCTTGGGACTAACCCGCAACTCAACTCCTTAACCCGTTACAAGACACTCGAAGTGTTAACTACAATACTAGCTAGATAAGGATATCAGTGATAATCTGGTTTCATCTGAAGCGTATTCCTCACTGGCTTCGAGCTGAAGTTTAGAGTTCAGGTTTTTGGGATTTGGCAGGTTAGCTTGCTGGTGATTAGGGTGGGAAGTCTACTCGGAGGGGCAAGGGACCTAATCAGTAGCTTCATAATGTGGATGACTGGGGCGATTACATGGCTTATCGGGGATCAGAAGTATACCTACGAAGTCCCTGCCCTCCACGTAGCGTTCAGGATTTCCGATCTAGGACGCGAGACCCGGGGCTTCAGGAAATGTAGCACATGGGACTTACCGGGCGCAGGGTTAGGGTTTAGGGTACCGATATAATATAACATGTTGCCTTGATCCCTACTGAACCCCCAGTAAGATCATGAGACGACTGGACCAAAGTCAGCCTCTCTGCTGGCTTTCCCGAGTCCCTAACAGCAGCCCCCCAAGGAACCCAAGGAAGACGCAGCCAATGCCAGTCTTCGAGGCCAGGTCTACAACCCAGACCCTTTGACCCCTATGCAGGCTCAAGTCTGCCCACCGCTTGAGTAGTAAAAGTAGTGACCATAGCAGTACAAAATAATAAGAGTAGCGGCAACCGTAATATTAACTGTAAGAAAAAAGGCCCAAGCTTCAAGGTCCACCACTGGGTGAAGCTCTGCGAGGAGTAGGAGGTCAAAGTATTGAGAGCCTCTGCTACAACCAACCTCGGCTGAGCTTTTCAAACCTCTGCAGACAAAAGGTTGGAGGTTTGGGGTTTAGGGTGTAGGGTTTAGGATAGGGGTGGAAGTGGGGTGTTGGCTGCCAGGAATTGCTGGCCCTGGCGTGGTGGTTGGGCTGAATTCGTCAGGCAATGCTGCTGCACTGGAGCCGCCTGGCCACACCATAAGATGTCTTATGGGTTAATATTGGGATAATGGAGAATCAAATGGAAAAGAAAATGGAAAATGAAATGGAAACTGGAGGGGTATAGTATTGGGGTTATACAGTCTGGAAAAGTGGATTGTTTACAAATTCCATCATCGCCATCATATGGGTGGTTGTCAATATGATGGTCCCTTTTTGGGTACCCTAAATATTAGGTGCCGTATTACACCCATGTGGCCTTGAAATCTCCACTCCGTCCGGCCTACACCCTGAACCTGCTGATATCCCAAGCAGCATGAGGAAGGACTTGTGCGTCATACCCTCCAACAGCTCCGTCTTGGGCAGGACGTACGAAGCATAGCCTCGCTATTGCAATTTAAGGCTTAGGCTTTGGGGCTCAGCATTTAGGAAAATGTCTGCATGCTTGGTCGAATATGGGCTAAGATGCTCTGAGCTGCCCTAAAAGGGTTGCTGCGTGTGCTGTGCCAAGTCGGTGAGACTTCCATATGCTGCACGACCTTAGTCTACAAGAGTACCGTAATTCCACAAATAAAACGGAAGTAGGGTCATGAAGGAAATTCAATATCAACCTTAACATAGGGCTTAGTAATGAAGGTTTAAGTGGATCTTCGTTTGAATGCCCGACGCGTTAAACCCTGAGCCCTGAACCCTAAACCCCTAACGCAAAACGTATGCCTCAACAAGCTGCGTGCTGTCAGCCCTGAAAGGACTCATACCCTCCCGAACCAAAATGGAGAATGAGAAGGCGCCCTTTGCAGATTACCGTTGCTTTTGAGGAACTTAAAGTAAGTTACTGTACCAAAGAAACCGCATGTTTGCTATAAACCCTAAACCCTAAACCCTAAACCCTAAAAACTAAACCCTAAACACTAAACCCTAAATCCTAAACCCTAAACCCTAAATCCGAAACTCCTCAACCCTAGACCCTGAACCCTGGCGTCGACAGCTGAAAGAACCTCCCAGGTAGGATGCTACAAGCCATACACTCTGCCTCACCAAAATCCTAAAACCTGCAAGCCTTACTGTAACTTACTTGGTGACCCATGGGACTTCGGGTCTAGGGCTTAGGGTTAGTAACTACTTATAACTGGGATCATAACCCTACTTATAATTGGGGTAACCCCTATAAGCCCATTATAAGTACGGTTATAAGCCCACTTATAAGTGGTTACGAAGTCCCATGGGGCTCCAAGTAGTGGTCAGGGAATTAGGGAATGTCATCCCTATGTAATCCCTGTATTGGATTATGTTGTGTTATATCATGTCTTGTTAGGTTGTACTACAGCAAATTATGTTGTACTATATATACTCTATGGATATACATATACGCATTCCCTGGGATGATACAGGGGCTTACTGTAGAGGAGCCGTGTGTGGCGTATCCAGGCCAGGGGACAGCCTGCACCCAAAACTTCTAGAACAGAAAGTTTAGGGTTTAGGGTTTAGGGTTTGGAGACTTTCGGGCTGTTTCAAGCAAAACTTGGTGAGTTACGAACGGAACTGGGTAAGACCCTCACGAGACAGAGTGTCAAGTGCAGAAAGTATTTCGCGAAACAACTAGAATCGGGTGTGGGGATAGTTTTATGATGTTATGATCTACTGATTATCAGGGGATGATATAGATGCTTCGTCGGGATTCTCCCCTAACCCTAAACCCTAATCCCTCAAGCCCATATAAACTTACCGTTACTTTGGGTTCTCAAATTTCCTTATTTGATATTTTCAACTCCAAACTGACCTCTTCCCCAAACCTTGAGTAAGGGTAACAAACCCTAAACCTGCACCCTAAATCCCTAACCCTGAACCCTAAACCCTGGACCCTAAACCCTGGCTCAGTAGCAGTGCGGGGCTTTGAAGAGAAGGACGAGCGTGGTGAGGGCCACGATCAGGACCAGCTGCTTGTTGATGTAGTCCATTCCTACCAGAAAGGGGATATAGGGGTATATAGGGGTATATAGCGATGTCTAGAGTTTAGGGTTTAGGGTTTACAAAATTAGGGGTGTTGATGTAATCCATTCCTAAAAACGATGGGTATCAGGGTTCCTCTAAAGGGCGGGGTGGTTATAGGTATGTTTTGGGATATATAGGATGCAGCACATGCGCCCAATACCGTCCTGCGTAGCTCAAGGTCACCGCCAGCCATGCTACACCGGAACGGATGGACTCGAGGACTCCGATTCGTCGCGCGGCCACCTCCGGGGTGTTCTCTCTGGTGGTTGAATCTATCAAGCTGATGCTCATCTTTGCAAGATACTACACGACAATGACTTTGCAAGCAAAAGCAGAATTGCTGTCTATAGTGGGGACTATGGTATCCAGAGATGAATAGTCTTAAGCAGTGAAGAGGTAGAGGGGTGTGGGCTGAGGATCTGCGACTTCGCTTGAGGACATGAGTTCAGGGCTCAGGGATTGGAGACAAGGGCTTTGGGTGTGGAATTGAGGCTTTGGGTTGAGGGTTGTGGTCTCGGTTGCGTTGCTTGGGACTTGGTTTAAAATCTTTTTTTTGGTGGAATACTCATACACTAATTAATCGCTCCCTCATTATAGTTACTTAAATAATGTTCCTTAATAGCAATCTAGTATAGGGAACCTACCCTCCCGCACAACAGCATGGAGCCCAATATCTAAGAAAAACGACACCCCTAACTAAACTAATGAAATACAAACCAGAGCGATGTTGTGGAGATTCTAAGGGTCATCCTTATGTATTATGCAGGGGCAGTTTGTACCTAGAACTTGAAACCTACAACCCCAAACCCTAGACACAATCACTACGCATTTGGGATTTCTCAAAACAGAGGGCCGTTGGGGACGGCAGGCATCTATTGGGGCTAGAAGAAGATGCTAGGGCCCCCCTAGAACCCTAAACCCTAAAACCAAACCCTGAACCCTAAGCCCCTAAGCCCTTAAGCCCCTAAGCCCCTGGTCCCCTTAAGGACACTACTTTGGTAAACTTCCACACATGGGTTGTTCTCAAAATTATGGCTTTTGCTTCTAGGTCCATAGGTGATATTACGGCACGACCTAAAGTTTAGGGATACCAAGATTGGACCCTAATTTTGCTGAACTTCCCAGATCTACCTAAACCTAAATCCCTAAAACCTAAACGCTAAAACCCTACCCTAAACCCTAAACCCTGCATAATCCCCTGTATAACCACCCTTTTAAGGAGTTTAGACCATAACCCACATCCTAAACCCTAAACCCTGAACCCTAAACCCTAAACCCTAAAACCCTAAAACCCTAAAACCCTAAACTACATAATCCCCTGTATAACCACCCTTTTTAAGAGTTTAGACCATAACCCACATCCTAAACCCTAAACCCTAAACCCTGAACCCTAAACCCTAAAACCCTAAAACCCTAAACTACATAATCCCCTGTATAACCACCCTTTTAAGGAGTTTAGACCATAACCCACATCCTAAACCCTAAACCCTAAACCCTGAACCCTAAACCTTAATCCCTAAACCGAAGGACTTCTGAAGGCTCCGGCCTGAAAGCCTCCGTGGAAGTCCTCACAGAGGGTTTGGCGGTTTAGGGTTTTAGGGTTTGAGGGTCTAGAATGTAGGGTCTTAGGATTTGAGGGTCTAGGGTTTTTGGGTTTTAGGGTTTAGGGTTTATGGTTTAGGGTGTTAGGGTTTAGGGTGTTAGGGTTTAGGGTGTTAGGGTTTTAGGGTTGTAGGGTTTTAGGGTTTAGGGCTATGGGCTTGAAGTTTAGGTTCAGGGTGTAGGATTTCTGTTTTAGGTTCTAGGGTTTTGGGCTTTAGGGCTTAGGGTTTAGGAACTATGTATCGATCCAGAACCGCTAAAGGATCTGTAAATTACATCTCCTAGAAAAGTATGGGGAATTAGGTACTCTGGGGGATATTATGGGCTTAGATTGGGGGCTTAATCTTAAATCCTCCCAGGCGTCTGGGGATTTCTGAAAAAGTGGATGCCCTCCAGGATATTTGCCAAGAATCTTAAAGAGGAGTGTTGTAAACAAGGGGCCCGTAATGTGTCATTTTCTGGGAGGAATGTACATGGGACGGTTAGCCAGCATACAAAGGGGTTGTACAGATGCATGAAATTTTCAGGTTTAGGTTCAAGGGTGTAGGGTTTTGCAAAAGAAGGGTGGACACCCCACATGTGTAACGGAGTTCTGCGAGGACCCTCTAGGGATCTATAGGGAGCACAAGGAGAAATTCCATATGTTTGGTGATTTTGCCGTGCGGTTGTGAGGTGTGGGGGCCTTGCAGGGGCTATGCCAGCGATATGCGCGGTAGTGTTTCTGTGTGGCTTACGTTGTGGGGTTATAAGCGCGTTAGCTGATAATATTCGCGTGTGGGTGCCTCTCCGAAGTCGTTGGGAACACTCAGTAACTAGCTCTTGCGTACCTCGTCCCATGCTCTTGTCATGCAGGCTTCCACATACCATCACCCTACTCCCAAAAGTTTTCCATTTGATGCATTCCCCTCATCCCCTTCTGAGTGTTGAGACGTTTCTACGCTTCTGCTTCACCTCAGACCCTGAACACTATGCCACGTAGCGCACTTCTGCTCCAGCTGTCCCCATAACTCCAAAGCAGGATGGCCTAGTAGACTTTGAAACCCCTATGGATGGTAATACGTAAGCCCGGGGCGAATCCAACAAAGGGAACCCTGATTTAGATCTATATACGTTTACTGGGATCCTATTGGGACATGATATGAGCGAATAGCCCTTGTGGCAACCCTGAACCATCACCTTGGCTGCTTCAAACTGTTACGTGAGATATCATCTTACTAGTGGTAAAGGTTTTAGGGTTTTAGGGGTTTAGGCTTTAAGGTTGAGGAGGGAACGATGGTTTCAAAAAAGGGACGACATAGGAATTACTATAGGGAGCCACTCGTCACTTACGTATTTACCACCTGTACGGCAGAAGCCTGAATAATAATTGCGTTATTATTGTTCCAGGTTCCTAGTTCCATTTTGGTATAGGGGGCCTGAAATAAACCGCAACATGATATGCCTCTTTTCTATCCCTCCATCATTGGTACTTATATGACCCTAAATTTCCACCGGGCCTGTTTACACCCATTGATAGGGTTTTCAGACACTGAAGATACACGTCAGCCACAAACACCCGTACCCTAAGACAATGGGAAGTGCCAAAAACCCTGCGGGCTCTGCCTGTACACCTCCAGCCTGCTGCAGCGGGGCCAAAACTACTAAAATATCCCCCTAACATATGGGGGTTATATTGGGATATTATCCGCCCATAGTGGAGAATGAAATGGAAAACTGGGGGAACATAGGGCTTTAAGGAACCTTAGCCTGTCAGGCCAAAGGGGGCCCTGGCAAAGGTCTTGGAAGTCCCTTTGAAGGTCTTGGGAGGCCCTAAAAACATGCTGAAAGGCCCGCCTGCGGCTTGCATGTGGTCCTAACGTTTGCTAAGACCTTGTGAGACGATGATCTTGAGGTTGGAATTGAGGGCGCAGCCCTAAACCCTGGTTTGGGTAGTAGCTTGTAATATCTTCACACCGGGTGGGAGCTGGGAATTCTCAGCTTCGAAAATTCTTCAACAACATCGCGCAAGGGTCGCTTGGCGCAGGATGCGCCGCCACCCACAGACCCCTGGCTGGGTTGCTGTTAAGGAACTTAAATTAAGTTACCATAATGGGTGTATATAGTGAATAATAGGGTTTCCCCAATATAGTAACTTAATTCAAGCTCCTTAACAGCAACCCCTGGGAGTCAGGTGGCGTTATCTGCGCCCTGACTGGCAGCTATGCGCAATAAGACGCTACCCCTGAGCCCAAAACCCTAAGTATGAAGTCTCAGGAAGCTATTCGCGGAGTCCTCATTGAAGTTCCAGATGATGAAGAGCAAGCCTAGGATTGAAACAGCTGTGGTGTAGGGATTACAGTAAGGTTTAGGAATTTGGGGTTGTTGGATAGATTTAGGAGCCATTAAAAGATTAAACTTCTAAGTCATCATAGGGAATATGAAGGCACCATGGTCCATAGTGATTACAAGTTGCCACACTACCCCAGCTTAGGACCTTAGAGCTTAGGGTTTAGGGTTTCGGGTTGAGGGCACAGTGATTCCGGAGTTGCCGAAACAGCCTTGGGGTTATAGGTATGTTGCAACATTATTTACAACAAGGAGTAACTATAGGAGACTACCCAAAACCCTGAATCAGATGGTTTTCAGCATCCCGCTCACGCCCAGGTTGCACGCGGACCATTTAAGCTTAGGGTTTAGGGTCTAGGTTGAATCCTGCATACATACAACCCTCAAGACTTATCCTTCTACTCGCCGTGCCATCCACCATAATAACCCTGCAAAAGCTTCGCAAAATAGAGGTCCTTTTCATACCCCACTCCTACCAGAATCCTTGTGATAAGGACCCCCCAGAAGGAAACTACAAGATTTGACAAACGCTCAACCCTTGCCCTAAACCCGAAACCCTAAACCGTAAACCCTCAACCCTTACCCTATAGAACCCCAGTATAGTAGTTTCCATTTTCTTTTCATCCCACTATAACCCCAAGATAACCCGTATATAACCCCATAATCGTATTATAACATACCCAAAGCCATATTCTATCTAGTCAAGAGGGACTGTATCCCTATATAACTGGATATAACCCCAACATGCTATAGTAGTTTCCATTTTCTTTTCCATTATCCCTATATCTACTTAAGGGGGACTCAACCCTTACCCTATAGAACCCCAGTATAGTAGAGTAGTTTCCATTTTCTTTTCCATTATCCCACTATAACCCCAATATAACCCGTATATGAGCCCCTTAATAACCCCCTTAATAACCCCTTTAGTAGTCCCCTATACAATCCCCAATATAACCCCTCATTAAGGAGTTTAGACTATAGCTCATATAAACCCATAGTAACCCTTAAAACGGTAAGCAAAGCCCAAGAGGCGTGAGGTGCTCTGCACTCCGCAAAGACCCAAATAGGTCAGGGTCACCACGGGGTTGTCGAAAAACTCCTAGGACAGATTGTGGATGTAGCGTTTAGGGCTTATCCTTCTTTTCGGATTGGAGCGCTTTGGGCCTTTCAGAACTTCGCGGAGATTGGGGTTGATGGTTGAGGGGTTTAAGGCTTGGAGCAGTTCATTGCAGGGCGGTTTGAAGCCAGAATAAACCAACAAAACTTCCTTGAATCGAAAATGAGATCATAAGAACAGCCTCTGCAGAGTACTCGTTATATGTGGGCCTGTAGAGGTTACAAGAGTGAAAGGAAATATAATGAGA